CGTTCGAGGCATCTATGGATTCACGGTTTATAGATCGCGCTACTCGAAGCTCTTGGTGCAATAATGCAGAGAATCAAAATTCGTGCAATATTGGATTTATGTAAGCGATGGCGCAGCACGTAACCGATACTAGTCCAGTTATTTTGTTGAAAAAATGCCAGATTTATCAAATTATTGTTAATTATTAAGCTAATTTAAGTCAAGATTTTGCATGAACACATTATTGATGAACTCTGACTCTACAGTAAATATCCGACATAATCGAGTGGTATCTTGTCATTAATTTTTTGCAACAGGTATTAATACAAAGCAAAAAACGAGGTTGTTCAAAAATCAATTAAAATTGTTTTATGCAGTGATCATATATGTAATGGTCCAATTTGAAAAAATATTTTCGTAACATGACGGTGAGCTGATTTTATTGGCCTTGGAAGCGCAAATCAAATTAACATAGGTACATTAATCACCCATATCTCAACGGATATGATATCGGGTTCCATTCCATCTATAGAATCGAGGTTCATGTGATGTTTTAGTCAAAGATTTCTCTCTTATCTGGCAATGCTGATCAGCCGTCAGGATTTAACGGATCATGCATAGCGTCTTGCAGCAGTCAGTGCCGCACCCGGCTGTGCGAGAGGCGAGCTGCGCATCAAGGAAGGACACGTTTTATCACAATACAAGCTTGTATCCATCACAATAAAGAGCCAGGTAGTTCCGTCTAATATAGTGTCACTGCAATAGATCAAGCTGCCAACTACGAGTGCGTGCCGCGGTCACTTTGCAAGTATTATTCGAATACTTCACATTTATAATAATTAATTGCTTTCTCGATTCAGAAGAAGTCGATTACTTGTTACTTGTCGGTATAACGATCAACCCTTGGATCGTTTGGACAGACATATAGCTAATTTGATCAAGAAATCAAACGCAATAAGAGCCGAAGGCATGAAGTTTCTGGATCAAAGACAAGGTCGAAATTACGTCAAGCCACCCAACTTTTCAGCCAAGCCAAATTTTGACTTACGTCATTTTAGTCGACTTCTAGTGACACTTTGGTGCCTGCTTCACACCCTTGAGTGCGAGGGACGCGTCAAAGAATGGAAGTCGACGGTGGTAGACATGACATTGCTTACGAATGTAGCGGAGCACCAAAGCACCATCGTCCACTCCAACATACAATGCATGGGACTGGCCACCAAGCTGGACTGGGTCTATGTCGCCTGCTACACCCCCATGCTGGGTGCAGGCATGTGCTCTCTTTGGGGCTACGCGGCCTCACTCTATCTCCCAGCGTCATCTGGGACACAGCAGTCCAAATGCAAGGTCTGCTACCTATCTGATGGTGAGTGAAGGCCAATATTTAATTTGAATGATATAAAGTGAACACTCATATATAGAATGAGAATGAATGATAAATTAATTCATTGCAGATCTTTCCTCGAAATTATTGTGAAAATATTTTTTCTCTTATTAATGACGGCAATTTATCCACAACAATATATTTGGTTATCTAGAAATATTTTTTACGTGTGTACGTTTGTTTATGTGTTTGTTTCTAAAATATTGTAAACCATAATTATTCGTTTTATGGGCTTGCGAGGCCCAGCAAAACTGGGTTTGGGTTGAAATAATTGTTAAATGTTTTTTTATTACATGAATATAATTAAAAATTTTTAGTTACATCCCTTACATATTTTGAAACGTGAGTTCAAATCTATTTTCTTCTTAACCAGGGTTTGAGTGAGCTTCTCATGAAATAATATAACTCATTTCCAATGTTTAGTTGTTGGTTGACAAGGCGATTGTTGTTGGACAGATGAAGGTTAAACTTGACAGAAATGCATCTTTATGAAGCATTAAAGGTGATACTTCCTGAGAAACGCTGGGACAATGTATGTACTCTATATATATCTTTTTAATATCCGATACTAAATGATGCCAAAGAATTACTGGTATCTTCGGAAAGATAATCGCTGAGATTTGGGAATCCCGACATCATAAATCCCATTGAAATATATTCAAACTGAATCATTGTCAATTGTAAACACGTTTGTTCGTCGGCGCCTCTATTGTATAACTATCTTTTATCTCCATTGATGAATTTTTCGAGAACTGAATATCATCGCTATTAAAAAAATGTGAAATTGTTAAATTAATTATAAATTATTTTTATCAAGTTTATGCTCATCAGTATATTATCCCGATACAATTTTTATTGTGAATATGACCAGTCCCTAATATATTTACAGCAAAACAGAAACACACTCTTAAACTTTTTTTTAATGTAAAAATAATACTGTTTAGCGCATTTGCTCATTTATGGAAAAAATGCACTATTGTGCTTGCCATGTCCGTCCGTCTGTCTGTCTGTCTGTCCGTCTGTCCGTCCGTCTGTCCGTGACCTCAAGTTTTTCTTCGACGAGAAAATGCGCTCTCTGTCACTCACTGCAGTGAGTACTGAGTTACACTGCAGTGAGTACTGAGTTATATTTTTTTAATTTTCCTCTATTGAAGGCTGCTTACTGGCGAACGGCTCGATCCCTGGTCGCAGTCGGAACAAAGGTCCGTAACGCAAGATACTCGGACTTGGTCAGAGTGTGCCAGTCCAACGGGCGCTTCCTGCGTAAGTGAACATTCTTTACCATATTTTGACGTCTTTTCTATGAACTATAGTAGTACACATTTAACTTGTCATACTCAATATTGTCTCGGTTTCCTGACGGAGGGAAAACTCTTCGCATTGTCAACCGAGTTGACGGATCTTAGTTCGGAGTTATAAATCGTTTGGTTTCCACATTTATTTTCCAAAGCTGAGTCCGTAATCTGGGAATGACAAACAAATACATTTTTACAGACAAAACTACAGATGAACAATCATGTTTCAATCTTTTCAGTTTCTGAAACAAAATAGAAATAACAAATAAATTGACACGTTCCAACGGGTCAAATGACGACTCAACAAAACTTACTGATGGTGCGGAGGGTGCCTTCACCGACAAATTCGAAAGCAATTCAATTTACACTTAAAGTCTGAAAATTATCGAGAAAATGAAAAATCGCAAACTAGAACAATTAGTACAGGATAATTATTTGAATTATCGCATGAATTTTGATAATGACAACCAAAACTGACTAAATTTTGACAAGCGAAGAACCATGACAAATAAATGTGTAACAGTTAAGCCGAAGTCTGGATGCAAAATGGGAGGCGAAAGCTGCTCTCGGAACGATGACGCATATCATTCAGAGGTGGAAGCCCCCAAATCCAGCTCTCGAGGAATTTCGCCGCGCTACAACTTCAATTTCATTCAAAACTTCTCTCGGTTTTAGTTTATTCAGCTACCTAATGTTTGGTACAATAGTAGGGTTAACGAGTCTTAAATTACTAGAAACCAGTGATTGGTAAAATCAGGCTATATAATTATATTAAATATTTACCTATCAAGTAACTTAACCCACAAGCATTTTTGCGGTCAGTTTTGGACGGTCATGGTTAAATCCTTAAGATTACTTTCTGCATTCATCCTCGTGTATATTCAAAATCAGCAGCAGACACCCACCAATTACTCGTGGGACCAACACAATTTGCATTCCTCAAATGATGTATAAACACATTGAAGTATAAACACATTGAAGTATAAATACGTTGAAATTTAAACACGTTGAACTATAAACACGCTGAAGTATAAACACGCTGAAGTATAAACAAGTTATAGTATAAATACGGGAAAGTATAAATACGGGAAAGTATAAATACGTTGAAGCATAAATACGTTGAAGTATAAATACTTCAACGTATTTATACTTCAACGAAGAAGAAGAAATCAGTTGCTACAACTGTTGAACTTGATACACCTAGCAGGGCGGCATTGGCTGCGGCTAGAAACACTAGAGTAGGGAGACTCCGGTGTCATGCTGGTGAATGTCGAGAAGTTTTTACCACGAAGAGTACAGGGAGATGGCAGACTGGAATGGCATCTTCATGGTGGCACTATGGATGAGGCAGGCAGGAGTTCTTAGAAACTTTGTGAAAAATGGCACCCTATATTACTGGGAAGCAGAGATGGGCAGCGCTACTTTGAAATGTAGCTGCCGCTACCGCTACCGCTACATGCTCTAAATGTAGCGGGCGCTACCGCTACAATTGCTTAAATGTAGCGCCGCTACCGCTACATGCTCTAAATGTAGCGGGCGCTACCGCTACAATTGCTTAAATGTAGCGCCGCTACCGCTACATGTAGCGCGCTACTGCCCACCTCTGGACTAACAACTAACATGTTTACTCTAGTAACAGGCTGAGGTTAACATTACACCGAAATCTTTCGTACAGTTTTATTCTATAATTTATATTATGTATGTACCATGCTGGTTTTTAAATAATATTTAATACTATTAAGTAAAATCTAAAGGCTTTATTTATAAATGTAGCGGTAGCGCTGTAGCGGCAAAATCTCGTATCGCTACTTAAATATGTAGCGAGCGCTACCGCTACCGCTACAATAGCTTAAATGTAGCCCCGCTACCCGCTACCGCTACTGAAAATGTAGCGGCCGCTACATGTAGCGCGCTACTGCCTACCTCTGCTGGGAAGACAGAACGGAAAGCAGGAAAAGGAATGGATAGACACAAGCCAGGAACAACGAGGTCCAGTTTCATGGATTCTTAGAGGATGAGTTATAATGCATCAGTGACGTCACCCAACTTTACCTCTGAGTGTCGATCATCAATCGAATATCTTCTTGCCGACTGAAAATTTTCATAGTTGTCTCGATTTGATTTAACTATTATTTTAATTGAATATAATTTGATAAATAACCTTCAATAAATTGCCTATTTTGCTTTTTTAAACCGATTCTTTCTCCTGTACATGCTGACAGACAGGCGATAGCCTGAGCCTTTAATTACTCCATGTTAGCATTAATATACTGAATGCTGATTTGTTTTAATTTTTCATGCATTTTTTACCTCGATAGAATGATGTGAAATGTCTTAATACTATGTCTCAAGCTGGAATGTCTCAAGCTGAAATGTGCGAGTTCGAAGGCAGGCTCTACAATCTGAACGAAAAGATCGGGTGCCTTCAGTGCACCGACATCGGCGTCACTTACGGCGGTAAGTTTCGACACATTTCAATTTCATTGTTTCTAAGGACTTTAATTTTTAATTTTCATATGCGTTTGTACGTAATCTTATGTTCTGCTTAATCAATAGATTCTCTCCTATTGCACGTACCTTCCTGCACATTAGGTTATTCCTTTGAAAGTGTGCATTTTCCAAACATATCGAAGTTTTCGTAAACATGAACTTGCTTCTACATTTGTCTTCTCTAATACAAACGAAGGTATTTGTACGTTCTTAGTAAAAGTATTGCAGCATACAAATGTTATCCAAAATACCGTCTCATGCTCGCAAAAACTACGTAAAATAAGGTATCGATGAACATTTTTATGTACTCATGTCACTCAAATAACTATAAACTGAAAATACTAATCTCCGTTGGTTATTACATGCTTCTGATGTCGGTCACGTTGACAGAAATTCGATTTCAAAGTATAATTTCTGTCAGTTGTTGTATGAATCGTTATATTTTCTTAAATAATCTTGCGATATAAAACCGCAACAACTTATTGCCGTAGCAGCGACTAAGCGAAGACGTAGTCTGTCTTTTAATTATTACTTCTGTCCACAGGATTGGATTTCCATCAACCATCATGTTCAATATCCGAGTTTCTAATCAGTCACTGTTATATCAATCATTCTTAGGATGTTCTACGTGTAACTCATTGCCTTATACGTTATCCAGTTTACCTCAATAATAGGCATATTGATCCCCCAGAAAGCACGGCATTGCCAGCCCAGTTACCAAGGTATTGCCACATTCTGCGAAGAAAAGATTGACATCCCACTTACAAACATATTGCCACGCCATTAACCATGATACTGTCATACCAGTTAACATGATTTATATAGTACCGCGATGAAGTCGTCCTATGGTCGAGGGTTCGTAACTCCGTCAGCCAACCACCGACAGCTTTCATAGATAAACCCATTTACCGTAAACGAGAAGTGGGCCGGTACGTGTACTTAATTAGAGCACGTATTGATTGTACGGCATAAGTAGAGTACGCATTGATTGATCCGTGGCGGTTTATAGATCAGGGCCGTCGTCGCGTCGCGGACATCGTGCTGCCTCCGAGGGACACTTGCTGTGCTCAGGCTTCTAATGGATACTGCCTGGTAACTGACCTGCTGCTCATTTTTACTGTTATCTATATATATGAGTTTGTAAAAAATTCATACTTCTAGATGTGCTTCATTTGGCGATGAATTATTTAAATTTTAAGATTCTGGATTCTATGAAAGGCCTGTATTTCGTTTCTATATGTGGTCTTTGATGAATCATATAGCGTTTTGATTCATTGTTCATGATAAGAACCATGTAAAATAAAATAGTTATGCACTTATTTATGTTATTTGTTATTATACTTTTTTAATTGAGGTGGCCGAATGCTCTGCCTATACTATCGGTTTCTGCGAGGCGAAGGCTCGGTGTGCGGCGCGAGGTCTGCCGATGGCGTCAAAAGAATTGTACTACAACCCTGGCCGTATCGTCGGCAACCTGGCTTCACTTGGCACCAGTGAGCTGATAGCCTGGTTGTTAGGGCGCTAATGAAAATATTGAGAAATAATAATTAGTAATATAGCCCAACCCTCTATGAACTATTCGCGTTCCTTAACAAAAATCAAATTTTAACCATGATTTTGCGACGGAACTCTCTAATGGGTGCGTTAGAACGAGTGCGACTTACATCAGTGATTTGTTTAATATAGACCTAAATATTTATGTTCGTCCTCAGATCAAGTTTACTTCTGGGCGAACATCCATCGCGGGGCCGACATGGTGTGGCGTTGGATGCCGAGCATGGAGGCAATGGGGAACGTGATCTCGACTTATAATGGGAATACCGATGGCGATTGTGCCGAAATGCTCATCTCGGGAGGCAGCATCTCCTTCTACCTCGTTTCGTGCCAGCAAAATGACGAGGAATGTGTGCTTTGTTACGATCCGGCCACAAGTCTGCCTCCGTGTTAAGCATTTATTTGCACCCAGCCATATGGCCCACTACACAACACAGACACAAGAGAAGAAAGTTCACTTCTACATACCTTCACACTTTTTCTCTCATTTCAGCCTTGTTGGTATACTAATTACGCGACTCTTTAGTGGTACTGATATCATGCATCTTTTCCTGGTATAGCTGACTCATTTGCAAGAGCCCAGAGTTGTATCCCTATCAAGAAAATTCGCGAATAATTTAGTTCAACTTCCAGTTCAACTCCTAGAAATGGGTTCACCTACGGTCAGAAATTCCTCCAGTCGAATCCACACCAAAAATCAAGTTGACGGAGGCAAGTAGCACACAAACACTGTTAGTTAAAATATGTACTTGTCGACCTGAAGTCCTGATGAGGGAAAATTGTTCAGTATTATCATCCTCTGAACATGAAACTTTTTAAATTTTTATTTATTGTTATTCAAAAATTGAAACATGATTTGTCTATTTCTTCATGTTCAAGAATTTGAGGTGCGCGCAAGAGGCCAGCAATGACCAACAACCCGTCATATTCTTTTCTGTGGACGAGCATGCTTGAGTGCGTTAAACTCTACGAAACTAAGCACAAAAAGCCATAGTAATTGTAGGTCCCCCGCCCTCTCAAGTCTGCTGTACTTTACTTTACAAAATATAATATTATCATCCTCCAATTTATGACGTTTAAGCCTATATGGCCTTCCTTACCTGCAGGCTTACCCCCGACTCTCCACCAAAACCCAACCAACCCAGACTCAACCCTCCGGTCATAGGCTGCATGAAACTGGAGAGGCGTGGCAGTGAGGATGTAGGGCTGGTCATTGGTTGCAGGAAGGTTGAGAATCGGGGTAGTTGTAGAAGTGGACCTTGTGGCATTTATTTTAGACTTATACATATGATAGACTTATATTTTGAAGAGTGAGGTCTCATGGGTTATTGAAATCCACTACTATAATAAGTTTCACTCGATGCAATAAGTAGTTTTATAGCATGGTTGAACTAGTATAAGGTTGACCCATGAGAAGCTCATTTTTGCGGGTGTTGTCATTTTTTCGCCTGTGACGTCTGATCTCAGTGACGTCACGGGCGTTAACCAATCACCGAAATGCGATCAAGCCAGTCAACCAATCCGTCATGAGAATGACTGGATTGTTTACGTTTCTCGATCTACGTGACGTAACAAGAAAGCTGAACTGAAAGACAGAAGTCTTCGCGGGTCAACCTTAAATAGTTCAACCATGGTTTTAAAGCACCCACATTTCCGCGGTAGTGTGTTTTTGAAGTTTTATTCACGATGTGTGATGTTAAAGCGTATGATCGATTTCAAGGCCAAGGTTATGGCGGTCGGATAATAATACGCTTTTCAAGCAACTTTCTCTTTTATCTAGGAATAGAACCCGGTATGAACAAGTCATGCATTGTTACAAGTATAAAAAGATGCCCAATAATAGAATATAAAAATTCAAATTATTCAAATTCATTTAATAAGTTCATGATAATAGCTCCTATACGTCAGCACTTACTCTAATATGATGTTCTTCTGCAATAACAAGTTCATAATTGTAGCTCCTATACGTAGGGTAATTGTTCGTAATAATATTGAAGGAGGTTTTATTCAGGAGTAATTGGGTAATTTTGTTGGTAATATTCGAGGGTAAGATTGGGGTAACCTATGATTTAAGCTGTTTATGGAAAATGGCGCCATGCGCTCGGTTATGTAACTACTAAAGTATTCAAAGTATTTTAACGTAATTAATTAACACTAAACCTGATTACTAAAATCTTAGCTAAATTTATTACCATCGAGCGAGACAGTTCGAGACAATAAACTTTGTTTGTTCTCCGAATTTATTTGTACCTCATAACCCCATTGTAAACGGTTTTTCCCTGGCTAATATCAAATAGAAGATTTCAATAATACAATTGACTTTGTCTTTTACATACTAAGGTGCAATTGAAAATTTACTTCATTAATTTTTTTACGGTTGTTCGTTCTAATTAAATAGCGAGGAGATTTATCTATAAAACACTGTGTGAATTTGGCCACTAATACGAAATAGCATCAAGAGCAATTACCTCTTTATATTACCTCCTTATACATCTTTTTTGTGAATGGTTCGAGAAGTTTCTCTAATAATGAACCTCTAACATAGTACTAACATCGTATTCGAATGTTACTGATTGCACGAGAGCGATAACGGCAAGTATAGCCATTCAACACCAATCATGAGACCCAGTATTTTGAGTAACAGTCTCATCTACTGCTTTATTCTTGCCCCGATACCGTCAAGCGACGGTTCCGCGGGAAGGAGATAGGGTTAAGAAAATTCATTATTCCTGCAGTATCATAGCACACGCAAGACCACATAGAAACATTAATGCAATTAAAAACAAGACTGAAATAAATGTGCCTAAAACTTAATTGACATTCATGTAAGAGACGTATATTTTCTGGTAAGATCAGATAAAAGGCATCACTACAGCCCCAAATTATATCGTTTTGCACTAATTGTACGTAATTTTAATTAAATAATTTTTATGACACGATCTAGCTTAGTTGTGGCTGAATAGCACATTTAGGACGCCATTGAAATCAACATTATTCTAACCTAAAAACTGCCATCAACGTAGCGGTCAACTCCTGCTGCAATGGAGAAATGCAGCTCGATCACTGAACAACATAAATCTCTATTCCTAATTTCCTATGCCGTCACAAGTTATCTGCTGAACGTGAAACAATAAATGACTTGCTGTGAACCAAGAATACGAATTGCAGGTGAAGTTAGGACGCTGAAGTTGGGCTATCGTACTGCCAGTTTGGCTGGCCTTGGCGTCCGTAGTAGCCACAAATATTGGTGAGCAGGTATTGTTGATACACTGGTAATGCGCCCTCCCAGGGAGTCAACAGACTTCGGGATCACCGGTTCATCCATCACCGAGTGAGTAACAATTCTACATGAGTTTACTGCACAGAATTAAATCAAATTCTGTTTCTTCAATTCAAAAACTATTCTAGCATGCGATTTATTAAAACAGAAGTTTTTTGACCGTGAACGACGATTGATCTTTGCCCGATGGACCTTAGATTGGCAATGAAGTTGTCTGCTGTCTCGAGATGCCATTTATAGAGGTTTGTCCAATTTCGTATCCACAATACCGGACTATATAAAGTCTGGTCTCAAAATTTGTCTTCATCATCGATTTTCTTAGAAATTTCGATTGAACTAAAAATCTTTTACAAAATGGCTGGTCTCCGAAGGCTCATGGAATGCTCTTCCGTGTCGGTCTAAGGCATGTCGGACTGGCGAGGCTCTGGTGACCTCAGTAGCTGGGATCTGTTCTCAGTGATGGTCCGGGGTGAGTCACCAGAGCTGAGCCAAAGCGAGGCGCCGCCCCCCAAAAGGGGGAAGAGATTCACCGCATTCTTGCGACGACTCTTTTGTGGCTGTTGCAGGCCACGCGGCGAGAGCGACGGTGGCCCGTGAATGGTAGCACCTAATTCTTTAGGAGTTGGGGCGCTGCCTTCACCTGGCTACTGATTTGCTCTTGGGGGAAGGGAGTTAAGAGGGGGGTCCTCCGAGACCCAAAAAATAAAACATGTTGCCTGCTGGGGGAGAGGGTTATTCGGAACCCAATTAGTAAAGTATCCTACCTGCAAGGGAGGCTACGATCATTGGAAAACCGTCAATCCCAGGTGCGACATTTGGCCTAAGTGAGGTCATTTACGGAACATCCAACAAGACATTATAATCATCATCCCGTCAATCTGGTATGCCTCAGAACAGCGTTCCAAAATTTTCATAAACGACTACCACTTTGAAGTTACTAACAGTCACAGGACCTCTCGTTACTACTGAAGAGGAGTAGAACGGAAACAATATTTTTATTCGAGTTTTAATTACTCCTCCTACTTCTTAGACCTGTAGAGGATACAAGTTTTATTACAAATAAATAAAGATATCTTATTAGCTATTACAATATGACAGTTTGCTAACAATCGCATTTTAACAAGTGGAAATAATGGAAAGTCTAAGGGGCGAGGCAAAAATGGAGCAGCAGGCAGCAGCGAACTCTCTCAATGAACTATGCACTGAAGACACAGCATTTGACCCGATCACCTAGAAGGGAGCTAGGCTTAGAAGTTGTGCAGCTCAACTGTCATGGCTTATTTGGAAAGCTGACAGAAATAAAGCTATATCTATATAGAGAGAAGCCAGATGTGGTATGTCTGTGTGAGACATGGCTAAGAGTGCATGAGCCTTCTTTTGTCGGATATCATGCAATGTGGTCACACCGGGAAAATGCTGCAAGAGGTGGTATGCAAGAGGTACTAAATACCTTCTTGCTACTGGGCGTTTGAATTTTTGAAAGAAATGTAGTTCGTTCCACCTATCACTAATTTAATGGTCATCAACCATCCTTTTGAAGCATGACAGTCTTGGCAGGATCCTCCCCACATGCCATGGACCCCATCACATGACTAATTGTAAATGTGACACTGACTCCTGTACCAGTCCCAGTGGGCACTGGGCACTGGGCGCTCAGTGGGCAGTGTACAGGACCTTTCCAAGACATGTACAAAATCCCCCAGACAGGAGGCTCCCCTGTTGAGTTTTGACCCTGATGGTAGCAGTCAAGTAGATTAGAAGATTAGCATCAGCAGGTCTTGAACAGAGTTGAACACAATACTTATTTCCCCTGTAGGGCCTGTACTGGCTGCACCTTCCCTGGCTGGACTATCTGGCCCTGGCTGAGTGGCTCTCTGTCTGAGTAGACCCTCCAGTTAGGTAAGGGTTACTAACAAGTCTAACATGCATGTACTACTGTAGCAGTTAGCACTAATTCCGGGACCTAGTAGCTGAATGAACTAACAGAACAACATCTCAGATTTGCAAACTTACCGAGGCTTTTGCCCTCAGGTTTGTGCGGCCAAACCCTTGCTGCTTGTCCGGACGTGAGGCGAGTCGCGAGACTGGCGAGTGGTGAAGAACCAAGTCCTCAGAAAGCAGATAGAAGAAGAACACTCAGTGGAGCCTTTGGAATTTCACGATCCTGTCATCACTCATCAATCATCATGATGTGATGACACAGTTCTGTCATCACGATGTGATGACAGAACTACAGGGAGTTCACGATCCTGAGGACTGAGGTTACCTGTAGATGTTCTGTGACTTCTGTCATCACATTTTTGTCCCTGTGGTCAAAGACCTTTGCCCTTGTAATTTGTAAAGGGAAAAAATATACTGACCCCGGTGACCCGGGGCAGTGGGCCAGTGGGGACCCCTGTGTTGGGGTTGTTGTGTTGTGTAAATTGTGTTGTGGCTTGTCACCTTGTGTGTTTGAGGTTGTTGACTTGTTGTCATTGTTGTGTAATCACTGTAATGTGTTGTGTTTAACTCTTCTAAAAGTGTTTCAAGGAAATTAGGCATGATGTCAAACCACAAATTTTATTGAATCAGTTCATTTTTAATCATCTAATCATAATGATCTAATGATTCTAATCTACTCAAAATTTAAACCAATATCTCAAATTCTCAAGCATGAAAATGCTGGAATCCACATTCCACAATACAGTGAGTTTACGATACTAGGATTGATGTAATGATGTGACCAATGTCCGATGATGAACACTGATGCACATGCTTTACGATCAATGTGGCAGCCCAGCAGGGCCAGAAAAGTCCTCCTTTTTTCTGAAATATTGCTGCTCTAATTTCATATAATTACCATCTGTAGGATGAAATCTTGCAGCTTTAATGTCATACATTTTTGTTTGATTGAAAAAATTGCGGTTTGACTTTGCAAACATGTTGTTTCATAAAATGTTCAACTTCCACACTCCGCAGTACTTCAATGCTCCTGCCAAAATATCCTGAAGAACATAATTACAAGTTGACAACAAGTCAACCCAAAATATTTCCTTGAAGATTGCATAGTTGTGGTTATGTCAGAGTGGTCCCTGGTCAGACTGCATTATCATGTGTTCAGCTGCCACTTAAGTGAAGACAAAAGTTAGTGTTGCTGTTTGACTGTTTTTAGGGCAAATTTAGAGATTTGTGGTAACACGTTCACCATTGCACAGGACTTTGTAAATAAGTTTGCTGCTCATTGCTCATAAATGGCTGAAATATGCAATTCACAGCTCAAAAAAATGGAATCACAGCTGGCAAACCTATAAAACCACGGCTCAAAAAATCCACTTAGGCTTGCCAAGTGGATATATTCCATGCCTGCAATGTGGCATAACACCCAACCTAATAACATAATACATAATGCATTGTAACATAACATATTATATCACATTACTACATGTCATAACATAACACTATACTTTATAGCATAACAGAATATATTTTAATAAATTGTAACATCACACATTACAACATAACATATCATAACCAAGCACATTAAAATACATCCTAACATAACCCAACACATTGCAACAAAACATAACATGACATTACATATTATGACATAACATAAAACCTCATGATATAACACTATACATTGTAACATAACATCAAACAACACAACAAATTATTCCACAACATATCATGACAAAACACATTAAATAACACAATATATCATGATACAACACTTTATAACACAATATAACATAGTACAGCACATTGTAACACAACATTAAATAACACAAAATAATTTAACAGGACATATTATGATGCAGCATAACATAGCACAACACATTTTAATACATCAAAACATAAGGCAACACATATGACAAAACATAAATAATACATCATGTCACTACAAAATAGGTTATAACATAACAAAAAATGTATCACACATAACAAATCCTAATATAGCCCATCACATTATAACATAACATAATCTGTTGTGTTATATTATGTTTTGTTGTGTTCTAATTTATTTTGTTATGTTATAATGTGTTCTATTATCTTATGTTATGTTATAATGTGTTCAGTTATTTTATATTGTATTATTGGTTATATTATATAGCATGGTGTGGTTACAGTTTTTCCCTGATATACAGCTTGCTGGTGTATATCTTAAAATTGTCTTGGATTTCTTGGTTATTGGATCTTGGATTTTTCCAAGGTTATTTTCCTCTGCAAGAAAGGTCTGAATTGTAGGCAGAGTGAAAGAAAAGTAGAGCCAACTTGTGGAAAACTTAGTTAAACCAAGAGAATAAATTTCACTTGAATAATGTAAAAACTGAAGAATAAGCAAATTCAAAACAAAGATCAGTGAGAAATTTTGGAATAGTATGGTATACTTGTCACATAAGGAGGCTTCAAACATAAAGGCATTCACAAACTATAGATTTTATAATTGATATGTTATGTTAACAGTTTTTTACACATTGACAACAAAGAGATAAATATGTGTATCACTTTAATTAATTTACCACTTTTCAAAAAAGTTTTTAATAAACAAGATTGGGAGTTATTGTCAATAAAAGAATTTTTAACCCTTTGGCAGGCAAGCATTGAAATATCCAGAAATTAAAATTCCAGAAACCATTTTAGGAAAGTAAAAACTATTATACAATATATTTATTTATATGAATTTTTGCAAATTTTGCCTATTGAAGGTTTAAATTGCACTTGAAGAATTCAATAAATGCGATCAGTACACAAAATTTTTCTTTATAATTAAAATTAAATTTATGCAAATGAAAAATTAGAAACATAAAAATTTAATTAAATTTAATCAAGTTGCCAAAATAAATAAATATATATATTGATACTTCCACCTTTTGAAGAAAATGCGGAAAGAGCGTCAGTTCCATTGTCGGAGTCAAAACCTTCATTTAAATGCTCATATTTCAATTTGTTGACTTTGCAGCTGGTGATGCTATAGATAAAACGATGGTCAGATAATTAGGGATTGACTGAGGCATTATAAGGATGCCTCAAAAACAAACAGGAAGCTGTGGTGAGGCTTTTTGTGACGCGATTCCAAGTGATCACATATGGTAACTTACCCGTGAAAGGGTTAAGAAGACAGGAAAAATGAAAAATCATAAGAAACTGAAATATATTTATTTTGTACAATAACAAAAATTAATTTAGTATGTAATGTTTATCACCTGTATTTGGTGACCTTGGAGTTGTCTGCTAGGGAAGCTGGGTATATGAGCAATTGGCGTCAATGTAATATGATGCAAAAAGTGGTGAGGGTAAATGTAGTTGCATCTTGATGGTAACTACCCTGTGATATTATCCAATCTCTTATTTAAGGTGATAGTCAACAATATATGTTAATGGTCAAAAAATTGGTACAAAAATAGGTTCCTCTCAGTGGTTAGCCATGGCCTTGTTAATTCCATGACATAAGTTAAATCTGAACACTAGACAATTTTAGGAAAGCTTTAATGTGAATAAAATAACATAACCATCATAGAATAATTTTTAGCTCTTTGATTCCAGGTATTGCACAGCATATTATTGTTGATTATTTTGCTGACATGACTGATATTAGATTGGAAGTGGCTTCTGAGAATGCCATCTCAGAGATTCATTATGATGGCCATGAAGTCCGACAACCGTGAGTGTTTTTAAACTTTTCTTTCAAATGTATTGTGATATTGTAATGAATCCATGTTTGTCTAGTTGCTAAATGTGAATTTACCTTGAAATTACCTTAAATTTATATAATAGTTAGAATTTTTATTTTCAAAATAATTTTTTATATTACTTAATAATGAAATCAGATATAAAAGAATTCCTTTACAACAATGTTTCTGTTGCAGCCCGCTGTCCATGTCAGAGCAGCTGAGCCAGTTTGCTCGCCGCATAGACTTCAGTGCAGTGGAGAATGGAGGCAGCGATGAGCCAGGTGGCAAGACTGGAGAAGATGCCGAGTCTATGGAAGACGATGAAGAGGAGGAGAAACCTTGCCAGCAACCTCATTGGCCACTTGAAAGTGTGCGCAACAAGATCAGGTGGAGAAACTTTTATGGTTCTTGTTATTTTCTATTTGTGTCTTGACCTGATAAGCTTAGTGGACATAATAGAAAAATATACTTATAACTTTCAAGTGGGAGGGAAATAGTTGTTTAAAATAAAATATGTTTGTCTTTTATCTAAATTATTTTCCTTCCTGAATCATTAAGTTAGCTGAAAAAGAAATTTGACCAATGAATTCTAAGATCTTGGACTCCTCTGTATTGAGTGAAAGTATTGTAGTCAAATGGGGCAAGACATGACTGAAATAATTGCCAAGCATGTAGTGCCTACATCGTGAGTAAATTAAAGACAATTACTGTATCAAAAGTTGTGGCTGTATACGGTATTAGGCTACCGGGGACATACCGAATTTTTTGCAGAGCATATATTTGGACAGATCCAAGAAGTTTAGCTAGTATAGTGTCATACCTGTGGGGTCAGGCAAAACTGGCTTTGAATTTCATATAGTTTTTTCTTTTTGTGGTGGGCTTGTAACTAATATGCTTTCTTATGCTCCCAAATTTATTGTTTATTTTCTTCAAAAATTATGAACTGAGAAAGTTTTTGCCTATCGGATATTTTGCCATGTTTCCATTTCTAAATGAACTTATCTCTGTTCAGGAATGCTCACACAGAGATTTGTGTGCTACATGACCTCCTTCAAATGGTTAAAGAGAAGAAGTACCTCGTTCTTGACCTCGTGCAAACCCCTCAGCCACAGCCAAAGCTCTACATCCAGTTCCTCTCTCTGAAGAAGGTAGCCCAATATTTACATCTGATTTCTCTCTTGGAGAATTTTTTGTAATGTCAACCACCAGTTTCTCTGCAGAACGTACCATAATGTAAACCTCAAGATTCTCACTAATAGATTCATTTAACTATACCTTTTTGTTGATACGTATGCTGCTGTCTCCTGCTTACATAATTTTTTTCTGTCAACACTCATATTTACAGGCTCAGAATTTGTTCTTGGGTACTTATATTATTATTAAGGTTGTCAATATTTTACTAGTAGATGCAATCGCTTATGATGATCATTCACTTCTGAGGAGATTGAAATGAGCAGTAATTTTCAAATATTTGGCTTTCCATTTTTTTATTAAATTCTTCAACTTGCACAAGAAATAATTTGGATGTTTGTGCAGAGTTTAAGCAATGCTTCTGGCATCCTGATGCAAGGTGCTGAGCGCATCAGGTCTTCACAGTCAAGCATTGCTCGCCCCAGCTCTGACTTCCATCTTGATCTGCTGCGTCTCCGCAAGAACTGGAAACTCAAGAAAGTTGCCGCTAACATCGTCGGTGATCTCTCCTACTCAGCTGTTGGCTCCAATTTCAAGCATGTCAGTACTGTGAATCACATCAAATATGGCTTCATACTTTCAACTCTGAAGATTTAGCTTACATGGGCTCCTCTCATATCAAGTTCACAAAATTTACCTGTAAAATTTATGTTCATTTACAATATTTAAGCTTGAATACTTAATTTTTATTTACGTTTTTTTTTGCAAAGTATAACAGTTACAAAAAATTGCAATCAATAATAAACTTGACACCATCATTTTGAACTAAATTTCTTTAATTTCTTAAGAAAGCAAAGAAACTGAACCCATTATGTTTTGGCTATGTTTGTACTTCTACAGAAAGAATTTGGCTTGTTTTTCTAACAACTTCCAGGGAGGTAAAATTTAAAATTCTATAATAAATATCGTTTAGGATTGCATTTTTAGTCTGAATGGATAAAACATACACAGAACTCTCTGACGGGATCACGTATTTCTCATCCTGATAAAATTTTTACTCTTATCACACTCACAGAAAGTTCTTTTCTTTGTCCTTTGGGAACGCCAAATTTCTACTTGACGCCACAGAACTGTAATTACTCAATTCCCTCATTATGTTCAGAACAGTCATTGCTCCCGTCGCGTCTTGTTTCGGCTCACGTTTCAGCTCACATATTGTTTTGGCTCACGTATTGTATTGGCTCATGTATTGTATTGGCTCACGTATTGTATTGGCTCACGTATTGTATTGGCTCACGTATTGTATTGGCTCACGTATTGTATTGGCTCACGTATTGTATTGGCTCACGTCTTGTTTTTGGGCTTACGTCTTGTTTTTGGCTTACGTCTTGTTTCGGCTCACGTCACTCATCGTAGTTCTCACGTCCCGATGCTCACGTCACTCATCGTAGTTCTCACGTCCCGTTACAGAACAGCTTCTTCGAAGTGACGAAGTCAGACGACGACGTAACTCTGACGACGCCGCTGTCCGCTCTGCCAGGCTCGTCGCCGTCCATTGGTCGCTCGTCCCTGCGCGTCACCGTGCCCCCGGAGCTCGAGGGCTCAGCCTACATCTTCGTCTGCATCCGCAAAGGCAGCTAAATATTCTTCAGAACTCGCGTTCTAATTTACAACCGTGATAGAAAATATCTAATTTATGTAGTCCATGAGAGTCCAACTCTGGTTATTATTATCATTTTTTTAATACTGAGTCTAATTTATAATAACTGATTTCAAAGTTAAAATGAATATTATTCTAGGCAAAATATATTTTTTTGTGATGCTATTCATTAGTCAAATTTATCTAGGTTGTTTTGCACATTTGCTAAAGCTACTATCACATCAGAGTCAGCATCTAGAGGGCATTTACTATTTAGTCCCTTGCTCAAGCGTTCTTATGTTCTTAACATTTAATTTTTTTATGTAGGTATTTGGGTTTGCAGAATTTTTTGTGTACCTTGACTACCTTCCATCTTCATACGTGTACACATTTAAAATATTTGTCAGGATTTCCCATCCATGGAAACCTTCAGCATATCAGCTCTGGACTCTCCCTATTTTTCATGACGGTAGAAGATTCTCTTCGAAGCTTGTCCATAAATCCTTGGATGATTTCTGCTATTGCCAAAGAATTTGGATCGCAATATGTCTCTAAATTCAAGAGCGTCACTCACTTCTCTGGCCTCATCATCTGATATCCAATTTTGATTAGGAGTTTGTGTGATTATTATTTTAATTGTATTTACACTTCGCTTTTTATTTGTTCAGATGAAGAAGACTTGTGCTCAGCGCAGCTAAACATGCTAGACGGTCTGGCTACTCTGAACGCCCAGCCCAACATGTCGCCGTCTACTGAACACTGGCAGCAGAAACTCGAGAACGCTCAGAACGTTCTCTTCTGCAAGGAACTCTTCAGCCAACTGGCCAGGGAGGCCGTGGCGCTCAGGATGGACATCCCTCCCCTTGTTGTTGCTAATCAGATCGCCGCCACCATCTTTCCCGGCATCCACCTGCTCATTGCGCTGTGCCACTCACATCCCGACAGGTGAAGTGGCTTCTCCTGGCTAGTGTGTGGGACGGGGTGGAAAAGGTAGTGTGGTCCGCCTGCTGAGGTGAACAAGGTAGTTTGGTCCTCCTGCTGAGGAGAACAAGGTAGTGTGGTCCTCTTGCAGAGGTGAACAAGGTAGTGTGGTCCGCCTGCTGAGGAGAACAAGGTAGTGTGGTCCGCCTGCTGAGGAGAACAAGGTAGTGTGGTCCTCTTAAATACTCTTTTCTGTCATTCCTCTCTTCTCATTTTTCTACTTTACTTGTTTTCATTCTCATAATTCTTGATGTACAGCCCCGAACATCCTCAACTTGTGTTCAAATAACTTCTATGAACTTCTGTTTATTGTTATTTTAGTTTAAAATATTTGACCTGCACGTAAATTGTTCACCTCATTTTTGTACAAGCAATCAAATTATCAAGTTGACACTTGATAATTTAGAACCTAATTTTCATTGAAATTATCGCTATGGAGAGATTAACTGTTTTTCTGTGCTGCATATTCTTTATTTTAGTTTGATTTTTTTATTGAACAGTTCACGCAGTCGATCGTCTCTAACTGCACCGCACAACGTACTGAGCAACGGCACCATCAACGAACTGGGCAGCAGCAGCACCACAGCGTCAAGCAACACCTCCACAGACCACCATTCTTCCTCGTCCCTCGGGGGCGGCGTGTCGTCTCTCAAGAACCTCCACGACAAGGTCCTAGAGCATTCCCTGCACCAGCTCTTCCACAGCTACCTCAAGAGCAGCTCTCCCATGCCTCATCCTGTCTACGCTCCCCTGCACGCCCACCCCACCAGGAGAGTGGCAGGGCCTCAAGGGCTCGACCGACAACAGGTAACTACCTTAATTACTACACAAGGGCTCGACCGACAACAGGTAACTACTTTAATTACTACACAAGGACTTGACCGACAACAGGTAACTACCTTAATTACTACACAAGGACTTGACCGACAACAGGTAACTACCTTAATTACTACACAAGGGCTTGACTGGCAAAAGGTAACTACCTTAATTACTACACATCGGCTTAACCGCCAACAGGCAACTACTGTAATTGTTTGGTTGGTTCCTTCTTGTACAGCCACAAATTTTTCAACAGCAAAAGATTGAAGTCTACTTTAAAATTATTTTAGATATAAATTCTAATAAGAAAGTCTTGTCTTGTTTGTCCCCTTTCTTCAATAACGACGATTGAAAGCGGTCCACTGTCTATTGTCTAATGTGATGCGACGTATAGTGTAGGCTAAGTTACTATCAAATTATTCCATAACTCAGAGTAACCGAGTTAGGCATTCATGATTTATCATGTGTTTATCTCACGGACCACCATGATAATATGACTGATTCATTCAACAGAAGGAAACTTGCCTGCACCTTAATTAGTAACTCTTCAATAAACTCATGTGCAGCTGATGCAGACAGTGACGCACGAGACGCTGCTGGAACAGATCATAAAGGAGGCGCAGCATAACTTCCTGCGCCTGCGCACGATGTTCGTCATCGATCAGCTCGCCAAGGAACTCAAAGATCCTCTCATTTTCTCCCACTGGAACCTCTTCAATTCCCCCACGCAGTCGTGCGTGAGGATCAACATCGTCACTCAGGTACGGATCTCGTATTATTTTTACCACGAATTCTAGGTTATGACGTTGTCGTGGCGGTAGTGTGTGTAATTTATTAAGTGATTTTAACCAAGAATTTAGAGGAATGAAAATCTATATAAATCACGGTATTTTCATCGAAAACATATCGAAGACTAGCTAAATTATCACTTGATGATTTTGTCTCTAAAACGTATTCTAATGAAGTTAAAGATATTTTCATAGCACTTTATAAGATATACATTTGATTTTTGTCAATATTCGATTTAATTATAATTAATCAAATTATCTTTATAAAAGTGAAATTACATATCAATTACGAACTTATCTTTACTTATAATTTCGTTACTGATACTCGATATTTATCGAATTTTTTTTTTACCTCTAAAAAATTCAGTTGATCCGAACTCAGTACCTATGCTTTCAACAGGGCTTTGATTCCGTGATACGAACGACGCTCGTGGTGCAAGTGTTCGAGCGGTCGCTGCGGTGCGTGTGTCGGGACGGCAGAGTCATGACTCTATCCTTCGAGCCGCAGGTACATCCTTTCTCTTTGCTATAAGCGGGAAAACTATTATCAAATGAATTATTATCAGGTGACTTTAAACTAGTTAATACTTTTTTTAGAAATTGGCAGCAGTCGATTCATATCGTTTACCTTCACAACTAGCTGTGTTCTACCTGTGTTAAAAACAACAGTGCTTGTGATCATAATCTTATTTAAGATCGTCATAGAATTTTTTTATTTTTCTTCTATTCGATAAGCTATCGTTGCTGCTCACGTTTTATGAATTAATTGATTCTCATGTAAACATCGAACCCCTGAGTGATGTATAATCGAAAAGCATGGCCGCATTGTGTACGATCGGTAGATTATTTAGGTATATCGTAACAATGGCTATTGAACTGTAGTACTATTGGCCTTCCCTAAAGTACTCAGAACTTGTATCTCATCGCTGCTTTTTTACTGTCTTTAACCTTGAAACCTGAGCAGGCCATCTTCTTCCTACATTACTCACTGTCGCGATGAAAGTCCTGGAGAAGTTTCAGCACATCTACTGATATTTCCGTCTCTATTGTGTGTGTGAACTTCTACAACCTTTGCTGGGGTGTCCACAGGAGCTGCTGAACTTACTGAGATGTCAGGTGGCGCAGCACCAGACGGCGGCCGTGCAGTCCTTCAGTAAACTCATGGGCTGGACGGTGAACTGCTCTGAGCCCTGCCTGGGGGTCGGGTCAGCTGAGCCCCTCGGCAGCGCTTCTGCGGTTGTCCTCACGTCTCCAGCTGGTAAGCTGGTGTCACCAATGTGTTTTTGTTTGAATTTTTATTTTCTTTTTATCGTGGCCTTGTTCGGTCCGGGCCACAAATTCAGTCTTGACTGCTTTGTTAATAATCCAGTCACAGCTCGATGTTTGTCATAATTACAGCTCGATGTTGGCCACTGTCTCGGTTCGATAGTTGCCACTGACTTGGCTCGATGTTTGCCACTGTCTCGGTTCGATGTTTACTTGGCTGAACTCGAGTCAAGGAGAGTAATGTCTACTATTTGACGTTACACGAGTAACGTCAAATCATGTCATTTTTATTGTTATTTTGTAGTTCTTCTGGGTTTAAACTATCATGCTTTTAGACGGCCAAAATCTGCTTGCATTTAGAGCAAGTAGAGCTAAAAATTCGAAGTTTATTTTAGCGTTTTTAAATTCGGCAGAAAAGTGCACGAGCTATCGATTGTGAAGTAATGCCTCATCATTTCTATTCCTGTAGTAACATAGTGCGTAATCTCTCGTAGGAAACAAGCAAATCCTGGTCCGATCAGGCCCCTGCACGGGTGTTAGCGTCAGCGTTGCAGCTGCTCCTCGCAACGACTTCTATCCCTCCGCCGTCGTGCACGAAAGGCGGTCAGTTCTTATTCTAGACTAATTTTGCATCTATGCATTGTTTGTTCATCTCATTCTTCTCTGTAACTGGCTTTTCTGTTTCAAAATTTGTGCGCGAAACGAGGACTTGAATGATAAGGCGCTTTTTCATATTTAACTGTGCCTAAATTTTTTAGGGTTTGTTCTAATTCTATTCTCCCTGTGGAGTTTATATTTAAGTTTTTCTCTCTGATGCATCTAATTTATTCATGTGTTATACTAGTATTGTAATAAGATGGTGACCATGTGGTGTCCCTAACAGATGGGACCAACTGCCGGGTGCGTGGCAGGAAGTCCGTCTCGACTCAATGGAAGGCAGGAATTTCTTAGCCAAAATTGAGCTACTCATGGCTGCGCTCACTGCTCAGAATTAGAAACCCTCCCACGTTAGTTCCAATTTCGTGTAAAAATTGTAAAGGTTCATAATTTTGTTTGGACTTATTTTCTATGAACAACTAAGAACCGAAATGTGTCGTAACCTTTGGTCCATGAAAGAGTATGTTGTGCAAATCAATGATGTGCGATAGTTGCAGGGAATTTTTAAACCCTGTAACTATCCACTGACAAGAAGAAACTTTAAAGAAGTTTACCCCATTTAAAAAAAATTTCGAATTTTGCAGTTAAGTTATTGAAAATTTACTTATGAATTAGCCAAGCTTTTACATTTAGGCGGATAAATTTCGAAAAATTTTCTGTTATTATGTGTACAGGCTTATGTGCGTCATTATTTTTTAATAACGATCTGGTGTTCTGTCTGTACGTTTGAATTATCATTTATCACGTCCTGTTCTGCACATTTTGTGATTACGGACGTAAGCACAAAATTAGACAGATCCAGCCTTTGAATATTCATTATTTTTCATCGATGTAGAGGAACTGAGAATCTGTTACCAAAATGACACGAACATGAATAATAAATAAAAATAACGGTTTCAGCGTTTATTAGGCCGTAGGCCTGTCGCCGATTCTTAACATCGCAGAACATTCACAGCATTTTGAGGTCTCGAACTCGCAACGCACAGCTACAATTCTGCTGTGCTTAACCGTCCGGCCTCCTTGCCGATTCTGACCAGAAACTGGCGCACAGAGCTGGGATCGAACCCGCGCCTCTCTAGTGCGTCAATGTTGGTACTCTGAACTTCAACCACTGGGCCACCCTGCCCTTGACGCCTTGAATAATGACGGGACTCTCCGATGCCGGTCACGGCAGGTAACTTAGAGCAGAAGCTATCATTATTCTTAGCAAGATTCAACGCAAATTCATATACTTACATGTGTTCATATTGTATTTCGGTGCTTAGATTTCTATATTTTATGAGATTTTTACGAATGGTCCTGCGTGCAAATAACGATTCTCGCTAAACTACCTCTATTTGACCGCATTTGCTGGTCAACCGTACGCTGTAATGTATGAAAAAAATGATATACGCGATGAATACAAAATTTGAATTGAAATCATATAGCATTCAAATATCGTGCGGGAGCAGTCTTTAAATGCTATATTCCATCTCTGTTCATTCGATATGCCGTCGGGATTTGATTACCGACCAGGTTATTTGTCAAGCAGATTGTAGCCCTCAACACTCACATTGAAATTGCTTGAAGTATTTGAGCTTAATTTGTAGAACAAATGTCGTACAACCCCTATTAACGTATGAACCATTCTTGACGCAGAGGATCGGGACTGGACTTCCTGTGCATCTGATAGTTTCTTGTGTCAGACATTGAAATTGATTTATTTAACAGTGCCATTTTTTTAAATAAGAAGTCGAGATTTGTCGCACTTCGTGAGTGTTGTGGAATAAAACTTAGAGAGTTTGACAATGGGAAAAGTGTGGTAGCGAACAAACGAGTTGCGGTTTAAAGACTTAGCTTCTTGTGAAAATTTTGCGAGGTCTCGAATCTTAGAAATGACAGCCGTTGCCAAATATTGAATGCTGATGCTACAATAATAAAAATATCAATTTCTAGAATGAAGAAGTGAAAACTTGAAGGAATCAATCTAAAAGCAGCCTATAATTGTGGCAATTGTGGCTCATCAAGCTGCTAAGTGTTCATAACTCGAGGTTTCGCTCACACTCTGAAGACAATTTTAATTAATCAAGCTTAAAATTTTGGAAACGGATTTTCTTTCGTATTCAGCAATGATTAAAACATTGATTGAGGTTTCTTTCTGATATAATAAGCAATTTTGTTGTAATTCATATAAAAATGTTTGCGTGGCACTCATAATAAAATTAGATTGCAAAATTTTTCGAGAAAAATTATCCGAGCTCTGCCACGACTTGAAATTTATTTGCAACTCGTATTTGGATCATTTTGTGCCACCTCACTTCAAGCGGTGGGGGAAGGGGGAAGGTAGTGTTTGCTATGATTGGCACTGGCATAGAAAAAAATAGGTGTGAACCTTGTTGTAAACTTGTAATCGATTGATGTAATGTAAACTCATCGATTCCAGCCCTGATACTTGATAAATGAGCAGCTTACGACGAGAATCGCCTTTGGTGGAACTGGAACACGCCGTCAACTAGCGGCTAGCCTAATACCTAGAGGCTAGAAGATCAAGCTAGCCTAATCGAATCATATCAGTGGCGTGATGCAATATTTTTTGAATGGACTTAGCTAGCGAAACTTTTTCTGATATTTCTTTACTAATTTTGAAAATCTCGTTTAACGATTCTTTACGTTGATGGTGACGACTTGAATTTGGAGTTTCACTCAATCATCAATGGACTCGACTTATCATTGTTTTCAAGAGCCTATTTCCGTATCATAAATTACGATTTACTAGTTTAGTAAGACGATAGAGTTATGACACACCAGACACAGTACTCCTTCAGGGTTCTGTTAAGTTTTAAGGTGTTAATTGTTTTGGGAAAAAGATTGGATACTACCTAAGTTTCCCAGACACCAGGCAACCGAAAAAATAATCTTTTTTCATTTGGCAGAAATTTCCTAGGTACTTAATTCAAAATTGAATATTTCTGATGTCTTGCAGCACCTAACCTAAGTAACAATTTTTAATACATTTTGAATCCTTCAGCCCAATTATGCATTTTTATTAAGTAAATAAGTTGGTAACTGTTGGTTTGAACATGAGATGATGATGATGGGTGGTTTACCATGGTTAATGACCAGTGAATTCATTGATTTAAATTTTCAGGATGGAAGAATAGGTATAAATCACCGTATTCCTATTCAGGTAAGGTAAATGCGGTATATTCCGACATCGTGGGTAATTCGTCACCTCTTTAGTTTTTCCTTTATATTAAGCTTTGTTTTAGTTCCATGCGTTTGTTGATGGTTTAAATGGTAACGTCATACATTTGCGCGTCGAACTAATGCCAAAACAATAGGTCTTGGCCATCTAGCGGGAAAATATTGAGATTCAAAGAGAGACAATGCACGCTACCCAGTGAGATCATCGAAAAATGTGTCAAATTTGACAGTTGACCTTGCTCTACCAAATAGTGGATAACTGTTTGTATAGGAAGAATATTATAGTTTGAGACTTTTAAATACGTCTGTGAATATATTAGGAATCCTTTAAGTATACTTGTATTTGCTGATTTCAAGTGGTAAATAAATTAATAGATGATTAAGTTGAGAAATGGATTTAGACACATGAAAACTAATTCCGTCACAACTTGAATTGGACACACACAGATCGTTCCAAGCTGTGTACAAAAAGTAAAATTTGCTTAATTAAAAGCTTAATAGTTCTTGATTAAAAGCGTAATTAAGTAGTGTTCAATATTCATTAGTGTTCTAATTCAAAGCCGTGTTGTACTCTAATACAGCTCACACAGCAAACGGAATTCAAACACATGGATGACGGCATTATGTATCAGTAGAATTTGAAGCGCGGACGGAATACGCATCACCACGTGCCAAATATTGCCACACACAGTGACGGAATATAGGATTTGGTAGGTTTCCTTTCTAAAGGCTTTTAAATAAATATGGCAACATTTTGTGACGTTTCATTGTTGCTAACACGTAGTGCGGTGTTTTGAGAGTCCCATAAAGCAAACAGAACTTGAGTAATGCATACGGTTATTTTTTTATAGTTTTTCATTTCTCGATGCGTCCATAATGTGACGGAATATACCGCATTTACCCTAATGTTGGTTGATCAAAAACTGAAAAAGCAGGTTTAATGTTCAAGGACATAAGCTAGCTAGTTTTAAGTTACCTATCAACAGTTCAAATGTGATGACATTCATTTTCAAGTTATAGAAATTAGGAAGCATTGAATACTACAGAAATTTTTGTCAGAATAAGTACATAATGCACATGAATACCGTAAAATGGGGTAACTTAGACCACTTTTTTTATAAATGATGCCATTTTTTTACTAGTGAAATTAAACTTGAATTGAAACATGCCAAATACAGGTCTACATACTCTAGCTTCACTCACCATAAATTGCTGGCTCCTGCCTCTCATAGTCTTTATGTAATTTCAAAAAAAGTGATGGTCTTTGTTACCCCAGCTCATGGGGTAACTTAGACCGGGTGGTAAAATCAATTATATTTTTTGGTAAAATAACTCCAGGTTTTGGTGCATTGTAGTAGAACTCTTCTAGTTACATATGCAAATGACAAACTTGAGGAAATGTCATAGTTTGCAAATGGGGGCACCGCCCCATAATGAGGGAAATGTGACTACCTAATGGCAGCCCTGATGGGGTAATATTGACTGGCTTGGAAATTAAGTTAAAATTAAGTTAAAATAAGACTCTGTAGAGTCTGAAACATAAAGAAAAAACATAAATAGGCTGTCAAACATAAAATATGTTATATATGGTAATTTTATATTAACTTCCAAGCCGGTCTATGTTACTCCATCAGGGCTGACATTAGGTGGTCTAAGTTACATTTGGGGGCTGCGCCCCCCATTTGCAAACTATGACACTTTCCTTAAAATTTGTCATTTGCATATGTAACTAGAAGAGTTCTACTACAATGCATCAAAACCTGGAGTTATTTAACCAAAAAATAAAAAAATTGGAGGGGGTACTCTGACAGGCTTTAAATAATAGCTTTTTTTCGTGGGTAACATTTTTAATTTTTTAACCTATTAGATATGCAAACTTTTTAAATCTTTCTATTGTGTTATGTAGCCTCAGTATTAGGCCTTTAATGCTCATCAACAAAATTTTTCTATGTCAAATAGTTTTTGAGTTGTGGGGGTTTTTGTTAAAAAAACGAAAAGTGGTCTAAGTTACCCCATTTTACGGTATGTCATAACAGGAAAATTTTGAAATTCAAAAATAATTCTATAACAATCTCCATTTCTCAAAGCTTAGAAAATCTGTAGTTGTGAGATGGATTGCTGGAGTCCAATGGTGGCGCAGCCTCACCATTGGTCTTGGTTCCAATCTGTTACCTGTAGAGGCTATTTGCTATTCTTGGTCCAATGATCTCGTGCCACTGCAGGATGGCAATGCAGAAATGCTGTGGAGTTCGTGTGGCTTTGAATACAAGCCTTAAATTTCATATCTATTGCTAACGAATGGAGAAAAAATTGTGCCAAAGTGGTTTCAAGATGGCTATGCTATTGCTCTGCCACCCTTGTGGGATGGCCCACACACTTCTGTCAGACCAGTTGCGTCAACAATTTTAGGATGAATTTTTGGAAAGAATTTTCATAGCGGGTATAATAAGCATAATTAAGTAATTTCAATCATGAAAATACTGTCTGTATATAGCTAAGAAAAAAGCTATATACAGACAATATTTTTTGCAAGCGCTGTC